ATTGTACGGGATAGTCTTCCAAAGTTCAGTAGGTATTCTGTGAGAATTGTTTTACATGTAGATGCATTTTTGATGTATTTGTGGGAGAGACTGAGCTCTGTGGCCTTTTACTCTGCCACCTTGAAGCTCTAGATTATTTCTAATACTTTGCAATTACAAATAATGCAGCAAAGTGAGTTAAAGTATATATATTTTTGTATTGTTGGAGATACAGCTTCAGGGTAAATTTCTAGGGTTGAATTGCTGTGTCAGAGAGTAAATGCATATATAGTTCTGTAGATGTTGCCAGATTTTACTCCATTTGGAGTTGAAGCACTTTTCCCACTGACAGTATATAAGAGTGGGATGAGGTTTATTTGTACAAGTCAAGCAAAAACCTTACCCTTCGAACTCAACATGCTTGTGGTCCTTTTCTCATCTCAGCCAAGACTGTTGTTATGTACAGATTTTAATAACAGACTAAACATTGTGTTTAAGATTTGTTTGTTTTCAAGAGTCATAAATAGCCATCATTCGACTTTTTTTTTATTAGAAACACTTTTTATCATCCTGTTTTTTTAACTTTAGAAGTTTTGTAAATTTAATTTCTCAGACTCTTAGTTTTTTGGGGTGATTATGAGAAATGAGTAAACTGAGAAATAACTATAAATAGGAGATGAAGTGGCTGACAGAGCTGAAATCATTTTTGCAGAGAAGTCTTGAGAAACAGAAAGAATTCTAACTCAATTCCAGTGTATTGGGAGGTGGCAGGGAGGAGAGCTGAACTTTGCAGGAGTAATGACTCTATTTCCAAAAAGACTTTGCATTTTTTACTACCAAGGAGTCCCAACAGTTAAGTTTTGTTAGTTGAGAAAAAGAACTTTTTTAAAAAGATTACACAAAATTCTCAAAGAAGTTTTGGGATTGTGGTGGGTATTTAGAACCTGAGTATTACACGTTTCTTCTTCCATTGAGGCTTCTTCTAATTAAGCCAGTACTAGGAAGTCTTGTCTCCCCTAACCCACTCGCTATCCCACACTGGATATTTCCGTTTCTCTCCAGAAAGCATGTTTTGGGGGCAGTGGTGTGGGGAATAAGGAGTAGGAATCTTATCTGCCTGATTTTTTTTTTAAGTATGCCTGTCGATGTTGATTTGGGGGAACTTTTATCCAGGAAAACCATTTGAAACAGCTGAATATCTTTTTAAAAATATTTAGTAAAAGAAAGAAAGCTCACCATTTCATTTTATTTATTTAACTTCCTTTATAAAACCTGAAAGATACTGCAAAAATAAAGCAACCAGAGACCAGTCTCAATTAAGATCACAGACACAGAAAATTGAAGCAAAAGCTTAGCAAATAGAATTTCACAATGTATGAAAACTATGACCAACTTGAGCTATGCCAGGGGTGCAAGATTGGTTCAGAATCAAGAAATTCTCTCAACATTATTATATCAGCAGATAAAAGGAAAAAGAAAATGTGTGGTCAGATCAGCACAAGCTGATTAGGCATTTGGTAAAAAATACAGTAACCATTTCTAATAAGTAGAAAAGGGATCTGCTTAAATATGTCAAATTACTTTCTAAAAATCAGTACCAAATATTATTCTAAATAATGAAACACTATGGCCATTTTGTTTAAACTCAAAACTAAGCGGGGATGCTCACTGATTCAGGGATGTCTTAGAGGCAATAAGACCAATAAAAAAGGAATGGTGTAAATACTGGAAATGAAAGTTAACTCTCTGTTTGTCTAGTTATGAGATTGTGTAAGATTCATAGAAGTTTGGTAAGATAGCTGAGTACAGCCAACAGAAATGATTAATAAAGCAAAATTTTTCTCTGTGCTTGAATACAGACTTGTGGTTA